TTTATAGACATGGTAGAAACAATAAATTATATACAATCTGGAAGAGCCGAAGAAGCTCTATCTTTTGGTAAAAAAATTTTTATTTCAGTCCCCTTCTATCGAAGAAAAAAATGGGTCAAAATTTTGTACCATTACTTTTGCATCGTACGTTATAATCGAAAATACATTCATTCTTGTAAATAATGTAACGGCAAGTAGAAAATACAAATCTAATTTATTTGTTATTCACACATACAATTCTTTATCAAAAATACGAAATCTATTTTCATATATTCTGGAATGACCCATAGCCGATGGTAAACGGCCAAAAACAGGTTGCCGTTCAGATTATTGCTTACGTTACAGCGGAAATGATCATCGGTCTAATCGCCGTAATTCATGGATTCCAAGCTGTTTTTACATGAAACTAAACATATCTCGTTAAACTATTACAAGACATTCATCGATAACTTATAGTAGATAAATCTTGATAAACTTATTTATCATTGCCATAGTGACCACATGCCGAGATGGCTTTTTACGGTTATGGCATACGGCCGTTTACGATTTACATAAACGCCCATACATCATCGTTTGTCTTCGTATTTCCCGTCAGCTTTTTCTCAGAGGAGGAAGGGACAGAAAACTCATTTGTTTACTTACTTAGGGTATACCAAAAGTTCTGATCACAGTTTTTAAAATTTAATAAAGCAATAAATATTGAATATTTTACTAAGGCGATATATAGTATAACGTCTCGTCTTTAATAATATATAGAGCAACTCTCTCTTAGACTTAGTTCTAACATCCTTTCAGACTAAATCTATAATTTTACAGACAATGCAAATATTATTAATTCTTGTTCAATGGTCAGGTACATTCTGGAACTTTCTATTGGTCACTCTCTCGTCACGTTTTATGACGTCATGTTCTAGAATATTACATTTCGATAGTATATATAAATGAGAGGTCGTTCGCTGTTAGTTCATTTGTACCGTACTCGACTTAAAATCGTAATAGAATTTGATTTCAATCTTAAAAGAAGACATTAAACATGACTGATGAATTCAATCGATATTATATCAAAATTCGAGCTATTTTGGGAATAGATTCAAAAACAATCTTTGACGAACTTACAGAGGCATTGGGACCTGATGCTCCATCATATCCAACAGTCAGAAGATGGGCGAAACGTTTTCGTGAAGGAAGAGACGATGTCACTGATGATCCTCGATCTGGTCGTCCGATTTCGGTACTTACAGATGAAAATGTTGAACGCGTTCGACAAGTTATCGAAGATGATCCACACTCAACTTATGATGATATTATGGGTGAGACTGATCTATCACGTGGTACAATAGAACGAATTATTCATGATCGTCTAAAGATGAGAAAAGTTACATCACGTTGGGTTGCTCATCAACTTACTGACGAACAAAAACAAAAACGACTTAGAATTTGTCGTCAAAATTTAGAGAAATTTAGAAATGGAACATGGCATTTATGTGATGTTATTACTGGTGATGAGACATGGATTTATCACAGGCAGATTGGTCGAAAGTCAAGCAATGCTACTTGGGTTGGCGAAAATGAACCACCAAGAACCATTGTTCGTCGGAATAGATTTGAACCTAGAACACTATTTTGCTTCTTCTTCAAATCCACTGGTTCTCTTCTCATACACAAAGTAGATAAGGGCAAGACAATAGATCATGACTACTATATTGATAATTGTCTTATACCTGTTATCAATGAAATAAGAAAAAAAGGAAAAGTCATCACGTACTACATATAAAATGCTTCATGATAATGGTCCTCCTCATACTCATCCAGATGTTATTGATTATTTAATGGAGGAAGGAATCGAAATCATTCCACATCCACCGTATTCACCAGATCTCGCACCGTGTGACTTTTGGCTAAATGATTATATCAAGAACAAGTTGACGGATCACACAAACGAAGAATCATTAGCTCAAGAGGTTTCCACCATAGTGAAGAATATTCCAATAAACGAGTTTAAAAAGACTTTCGATAAACTGTTAGAAAGAATGAAACTTTGTATCGAAAATAATGGTGATTATTTTGAGCATTGAATAAAATAAAATAACGAATGTCTCTTCGTTTCTGTATTGTGGTTTTATGTTGGCATGATCTTTTCTTGGCTATAAATACTATAGATTTAGTCTGAAAGGATGTTAGAACTAAGTCTAAGAGAGAGTTGCTCTATATATTATTAAAGACGAGACGTTATACTATATATTGCCTTAGTAAAATATTCAATATTTATTGCTTTATTAAATTTTAAAAACTGTGATCAGAACTTTTGGTATACCCTAAGTAAATTCATACTTACGCTGGTAGTCTTGTTGAAATTAACAGCTACGAACCGTAGTCCGTATGTATTTAAAAATGCTGTAGTTGATAGCATCTTCACCAAAACACGGTTCTTAGGGACATTGAATCATGCAGAAGCTGATAGCGATAGAGAAGACTTAGGTGGTTAATTATACAGTTAAAGCATGTCAATAATATGACGTAGATGCGATGCGTAAACGATGAACGAATACGACACGTTTACGTTGTAGCCGAAAAGATCACCATCTTCGATCGTCGTCTTCAGACTGAAAATCATCGTAACTTTAGCCTTATACAGCTGCTTACGTACTGTATTGTTCGATTTCGTGTAACGGTTATTGACCATCATCATTCTCCTACATAAGACGTGTGTAATAAAAGAGAAAGGATAGTTGTGAGTGTGAAAATAACACTAGACACTCGTTCAAGAGGCATAGACAGTCATTCTCACAATTCGTCACACCTGAATCTCGAAAGTTTCCATAAAGCACGTTGCAGGGATCGAACTGCATTTCACTCTTGTATCTCCTTGAAAAATATTTGATGATACGACCCGAGACTTATCGAAAACTCTCTGTGTTATGTCATGCGATGATCAACATGACCCCAGTGCCACGTTATCGAGGAAAGGTGTACATTTTTACATATTCTTCATTTGTCGCTTTCCTTCATAGGTAAGCACTATAGAGGATACAATTCCTTCTTTTAGATTCTGAATAGTCAGTCAGAAATGCCTCAAAAGCCAAAGATAATGAAACAAACTTAAGCGCGAACACAGCTCTTAAATGTATGAAAACGCGGATAAAAATGTGCTCTTGAAATTAAAGTATTTTGTCTAGTGAACTAGTTAATTTGAACGACTCTTTGATTGTACTTCCGCACATGATGAACAAAATAATTGTATTTCTGTGTACTCCTTTATCTACATGTGACGTTCGGATATGGCTTGGGGATGTTAATCATTCTATGAGAATCATGTTTATGAAATAGAACATTTCATAGTAACAGGAAGCATTTGCGAAGTGTTACGTAGAGTCTAATTAGAGTCGAAAACTTAAGCAATATGGAGTAAAACTCATGTAAATAAGACAATATATGATGAAAACAGGGTTGCAATACTAAGCATCGTTTTCCGACGAAAATATCTCTAAACAATGCCAATTACGTAATAATAAAAAACGCTCTGTAGTTTGAAATGAGTGCTCTGGATTAACGTACCTTGTCATGAACAATTTGTTATAATGAACTTAAGACTTTTCGTAGTTCCAGAATATTCAACAAACTTTCTATTAAAAGCAATTAACGATTTTCATTTCACAAAATTGGAAACTTTTTGCACATGACTAAATGACCCTGAGGTTCCAACAGTACACATTCTAGCCAGAAGGGATATATTCGAATTATTCCGTCTAGAATGGTCAACAACTAGCAGCATGAATAATAGTAGATCCCGACACAAAGCATCCGTATTAACAAATGGAAAAGTGTTAGTGGCTGGCGGATGGAGTAATGGTGCTTTGGATAGTGCTAAGTTGTATGATCCATTAACAGAAACTTGGACAATTATTGATACTATGAATAATACACGAGATTTTCACACAATGTTCATATTAACAGATGGAAAAGTATTAGTTACTGGTGGATATACTGATAGTGCTCTAAATAGTACCGAGTTGTATGATCCATCAACAGGAATTTGGACCACTACTAGTAGTATGAACCAAGGACGATCTGATCATACCGCATCCGTATTAGCCAATGGTAAAGTGTTAGTTATTGGTGGAAACAATAATCACGGTGCTCTAAACAGTGCTGAATTGTATGATCCCTTAACAGAAATTTGGACCACTACTGATAACCTGAATGATGCACGATATGACCACGCAGCATTCGTATTAACAAATGGAAAAGTGTTAGTTACTGGTGGAGATATGGATCATGATGAGACTTTAAACAGTGCTGAACTATATCAATCATTTCACATAAAATTAACTCTATAAACGACGTTTGACTTATAATACGATCAGTCTTGTTTCCAACTGCTATCCCTACAATACAACTATCCTATTTTAATGACGATGAATCATTTCTATACAAGCATCTTTTTGTCAATATGCTTTTCTAAGAATTCATTTTATAGATCCATATTGTTTATCTCTCTATATTTTCGATAGACTCAATTTAACTGTTAGGAGAAGTTTAAGCAACTGTGGATAGTTTCGTCTTGATGAACACTCTCATCAAGTTTAGAGCAAGTTTCTCCTAGTGAGTGAGTTGTCATGTTAGTGATACATTGCACAGGAAGGTACGAATATGAAAATACTGATGTCAGAGACAATATAAACACTCGGCTGGGCTATGCCATGTTATCAAATAAAACTAAAATGTTCGATATCTATACTAGGACTGCCAAGACTCCAGATTTAGTCAGGAGAACTCTAGTGTTTAGGCTTTTTCTACTGATTTTATTTTTGGTTTCTTGACTTTTTTCTGACGTTGAGTGTTAGCGACAGTATGAATCGAAAACACAAGAAATAAAGAGAAAAAGAAGGAAATAAGGATTATCGAACTATTTGCTCCGTGCAATAACCAATAAGAAAATATGCTACTTATGTTGATATCTCTAGAACTAAGAGTATCCCTTTTATAAACAAATTTTATGCGAAAAACTTGCATATTGTAGATAATAAGAAGAACTTTATAGTATTTGTCAAAATTTTTTTCATCGAAAAAGATGAAATTCATGAAGTATCAAATTCATTAGAACGGAATACTATATCATAATCCTTACAAGAATGTGAAAATCATTATCGATGAGAAGCTTTCACGATGACCAATCAGATTCAATCTTGTACCCGCCAATCCTGCATCTTCCATAGAATACCAGACATCGTCCATACTTTACCATACGAACCTTCTTAGTTACCATACCACAAAAAACTCATGACATACCCACTTCAACATTATCTCCTTGAACCATGACCAATCATATAACGAACACTCTTATTATCGCTCATCTGCAAAAAGAACATGAGCAACTAAATCGTTCCTGGGCGCTCACACCGGATTACTCTGACAAAAAAATTCATTCTACAGGCTTTCAGACATGTCTCAAAAAGAGAATGCCTTTCGAAACAAAAGCCACTATTGAACCGTTCACAATGGACCAACATTACTGCGAGGATATCTCAAAGAATAATGTCTCGCTCACGCCACTGAACCTTTGCCGGCCAATCAGAAGTGATTATTCTGACTCAGAATTTTGTTCTCTATCGATTGATATATAGCTTAAAGACAGAGTTTATTTTCGAAAAAAAAAATTTTCTTTCCAACATTGATACCTGAGATATAACTGTGGTAGGACATATGAAGAAAAAAAGACTTGCTCATAGAAGTGAAGCGT